AATATAAAACATTTGAATCACTCTAAATAAGTTAAAGTACTGAAACACCAATTATTAGATATGTTTAAGCATTTCTTCACTGCTTAAGTTTTATAAAACAGGATAATACATATGGACCATAAATGTGTTTTCATAAGTTTTTGGTGTATGGCAAAGAAAGACTGTTTTCTTCATAGGACTTAATGAAAGTTACTAAGAGTTTAAATTCTAATTAACACATGTAATTCTTTATGCAAAGGACACACAAATAATGTGTTTTAATAATAAACTAAGAAAGAACAAAATATATTATTTTGTTGAAGAAAAAATTATTTAAGATGAGAAGGGATTTGGTGTGGCATAAAAATTTTTATCTTAGAATTAAATGACTGGTTGAACTCAGTGGTAGAGCTCTTGCCTAGCATGTGTGAGGCATTGGGGTTCGATCCTCAGCACCAATTAAAAATAAATAAATAAAATAAAGGTACTGTGTCATCTACAATTAAAATTATTTTTAAAATAAAATGACTGGATTGTTTCAGATGGAAAGAAAATGAAAAGGTGAGACTAAAGGTTTAAGCAAGTCATAGAGAACCTAAGCAGGTCAGAGGTTTATAAAGAGCAAATCTTAGAAAATGTGTGTGACCAAGTTGGAAATGTATGCTAGTAGTTTGTGCTCATTTATCATAAACCTATCTGAATAGAATTCCTTGGGATATTTTATCATATAGACACTATCATGTACTCCAAGTAACACACAGAAAATATAATTTAAAAATTATATTTTTTAAAATTTGCACATTATATGTGGATATAAAATCAGAATTCAATTTTCTACATTTAAGGCAACAAGGATTTCTTAAAATATTGACCTGTTCTTAGTAAAATTTGTAAAAGTCTGATGATTCTTGTATAATGTTATCAGTTAATGATTGTTAGCTTAAAATGCTGTATGCAGGGTTGTTTGTGTGTGTGTGAGAGAGAGAACTGCTTAAGTCTCATCAAAATTCTCAGCATGGGGTTGGGGTTGAAGCTCAGTGGTAGAGCGCTTGCCTAGCACAGGTGAGGCACTGGGTTAGATCTTCAGTGCTAAATAAAAATAAATAAAGGTATTGTGTCCATCTACAACTAAAAATAATTTTAAAAAGTGTTTTTCAGCATGGCTGTCTGAAACTGTTATCCATATTTTTTTCTCTAAAGCATATACAATCAGATTTATGGTTTGTGGTTGGTCCTAGGGATTGAGCCCAAAGGTGCTTTACCACTGAACTACACCAAAGTCTGTTTGTTTTGAGACAAGTCCTTGCTAAATTGCCCAGGATGTCCTGGAACCTGCAATCCTCCTGCCTAAGTCTCCTTAGACCTGCTGGGACTGCAGGTCTGTGCCACCATGCTGGGCTAATCAGGTACTTTACATATAGTTTTCTGATAAAATTCATTTCATAATCAAATTTTTCTTTGATTGTCTTTGATAAAACGGCATGACTGTAGAAAATTATGCTTGTTAACTATAATACAAAGTGGATTTGTTTTGCTTGTCCTCTTTTGTTTTATATTTTTCTTTTCAGACTTTTGTAGCTATTGCCTGTCAAAATCCTGTAGAAATATAATTTCTAATAAATTTGTACTGGCCCAGTGCTTTGAAATGAGGTGCATTATCTACAGAATAGATAGTTCATAATGAATTCCAGGTAAGCTAAGCCTGAGGATCACGCCTTTACTCTTTGCTGCTCCAGTGTGGCTAAGAGTCATGACGCTAACTCCAAGTCATGACGCTAACTCCCAGTCATCAACCATTTTCCCTCCTATGTGGAACCATAGGAGGGACAGGTCCATCCCAGCACGGAGGGACAATCAAAATCTAACTATAGGATGGTCAATCGGCAAACCTTTAAAGAGAACAGAAGAGGCGGAATGTGAAAGTTGTCAGAATCAAAATGAAGTTGCTTATGTATCCCTACCAAAAAGTAAATAAATCCAGAAAGTGACGAAGGAAGGTTCTTACATGTGATTATCTCATAATAACTATCATGAAAGATTCTGCAAGACCACAAGTTTGCAGAGGCCACTACAACCTTATGCAGAAAGTTATTCTATAGGTATATCTGCTCAGTAATTGTTTGACCTTGGATTGACACCATTCATGAATCACTGGGCCAGGGATTATTGTTCGGAATATCTGATATAATCCTCACTTTTGTCTGTAAAGTTTTCCTTTTTCCATGTAGTTCTTGAATAACCAGGTTATTCTCAACTACCGGCTAACCAAGCAAGGAAGAATACGCACAGTCACATGTACCACTTACTGTACTTACATTAACACTTGGAGAAAAGTAAAACCTGGCTGATCTACCATGCGGCCTGCGCATTGGTTTCATTAATGAGGTTCTTGGCATAAAAGTTAGCTAGCAGAGATCGAAATAAAACACACTCAGTTACCTTTTTCTATGACCAGGTCCCAGACAGCTCCCCTCTCTGGCTCCAACCTCGAACCACCCGTAGGGCAGCAAGGATTACTCAGGGCTAGCAGGAGAGAGAGAGCGAGCACGCCAGGGAGTAGCCTTTTATTGGGGAACAAGAAATTCAGGGGATAATTCCATCCAATGAAGGTTGAGGGGGCCCCCCCCGCACTCCAAGGTCAGGGTCAGTGATTGGGCCCCCGGGGTCAGTGGTCAGTCACACCCCCACACGGACGGGTTCTCTCATCAGGAAAGGGCCGGGAAAGTTCCGACACAGCCAGAACGCCTCAGACCCTTAACGGGAGCCGCCCAGTCACGTGTCAGAATGGCTCCCCACAGGCTGATAGTTATGGAAACTGGAAAGTGATCGCGTTTTAAATATTCTTGTAAACTGTTAATTGATCTTAAGTTACTTAGGAAAATTTTAGGAAAAATAAGAACAAGCTTCCCACTCTGTCCATATTTTCTGGAAAGTCTTGATCCACACTGACTACTAGAGTCTAACTGGCAAAAGTGAGGTCCAATATGCAGTTGGCATAACAGTCCTGAAAATAAAAAGGCCCACAAGGCCACGATGGAACCTCTGGCCTGTGTATCCTTGAATAGAATTGCCCTAGACTTGCTTTATTTATTTATTTTTTAACTGGCCCCTCAAGGTGGAGTCTATGCTATAGTAAATACTAGCTGTTGTATATGTATTAACACATCCACAGGTGGAATTAGAAGTATACAAGATTTTAAAGCTCGAAAAATCACTGAAGGGAATCCCCATTCCCTGGCACTTTAGATTGGGCCCTCTTTCCATTTTCAGATATCTTAGTTTCCCACTGGGCTGAGTTTCTTTCTATGTTCAGTCCTAGTTTATAATGTTTCTTATTCTAGGTAATTGATAACCCAGATATAATAGTGGCCTTCCACTAATGATTCTTCCTCTAACCAAGGGACTCATTCCTCAATTCAAAACTTAGACCCCATAGTACATGGTTTAACAAGAAACATTTAAAGCCATATATTCCCTGGCCCCCAAAGAAGGGGGGTGTGTGCTGGTCACACCCAGACATAAATTCCTTAAATAGTAAACTTCTCTTTCAGGAAAAGCATCCAGATTGTCCACTAACAATTCTTATAGTTTGGAACCAGTTTTTCAAGTATGGACAAAAGAAGTAGCAGCCAACTGTCTGTCAATGACATCACAAACTCAAACCCCCAGGCAGAATATAACTCACTCCTGAAAAGCACATGACCTATGAAGAAGCAAGCCACCCAAACAACAAGCAGCTTCTCCCTCTTACCCATATATACCCCTGCTACCTAGGACTGATCAGGGAGGCAGATCTGAGCTCCTGGTCACCTTGTTTGTTGATTGTGCAATAAAGTCTTTTCCTTTTGCAAAACCTGATACCATGGTGTTATCAGTGGACAGCAAGAAGCCCTAGCTTGGTAACAGTTCTTTCCTTCTCTCCATGCTGTTTAGGATTCTGATCCCCATCTTGCTGATTTCCAGAGTTCTCCCTTAATCACTCTCAAAATAGTTTTTTCTTTGTTGTCCTAATTGTTCTCTGTGGCAAGGTTGCACACCTCTATTCAGCCATCTTGGTGGCACTCACTGTGCTAATTAAACCTACTTGTCAGTAAAGTATAGGTAACTCTCAATATACTTGTGAGATACTGATTTATCCTAGATTACTTTTGTTCCCATTTAATGCCTTTGACTAAGAACTATACTTTTTAAAAACTAGACTTCTGAAATCAGATGCCAGAGTGCCAAGCTGTTGCATTGTGAGTAGCTGTCATCATTTATTTTGAACTTTCTCACTTACAGATTTTAGGTTTGAAGCATTTCAGCTTTGGAGGAGACCATAAAGATCATGCAGGTCCAAAGGTCCTCAGTCAAAGCCCACAGCTCCTCTACAGCCCATTCATACTCACCTTTGGTTTAAAACAAAACAGAAAGTAAACAAATAAAACAACACTTAAACCTGGGGGGTGAGGAAAGCACCTTTCTCCCTAGGGGTCCATTCTAAGTTTGAGAAGGTGTTCAAACCTTGCCTCCTTTCAGTTTTCTACCTAATGGTTTTATATGAATCCCTTTCAATATTCTGTGTAGACAGAATATTCCCCATGTCTCTTATTCCCAAGGATTTGTTTTCCTTTCCCTCACTTCTACCTGGAAGAGAAGAAATGGGGCGGCTCAAGCCTCACAACTTCCGGTTCCTGGCCGTTCCAGACATACATGCTTGCTCTTGACAAGTCTGAACTGTAATTGATGGAGTGCTTTCTCCTCAGAGAACAGCATAGCAACTTCATACTTCAAACCCAGGCTCAGTACAAAATTTGTTACCATGATAACTTTCTTAGCAGTTGTCTGTGTACTATCAAGAAATGGTATGGATTTCCTCAAGGATCAACAGGAGAATAAAGGCTGTGAGAGAAAAGTCTCCATCAAATATAATAACCTCAATAAGACCAAAAAATAACTAAATATTAGTTAGTCCACATCTCCCTCATTAAAATTTCCACTCAACATGTAAAGGGCTATATTTATAGATTTGGGTAATCTACTTCCTTTAGTATAGTTTTTATTAATTAAAATCTATCCAAGCTGGGATTATCTGAAACCAAAGTCTTAGTTACAATTTTACTTTCAATTGTGGTATTTTCCCATTTCAATGGTGATTCTAACCGTTAATGTTCATAAATCCACAGGAAACATCAGGCAAGAACATAAGTAAAACATGACTTGAATCTACAAATTATACATTGAATTTACCCCTTTCTAAAATTAAGACCAAGAAATACAAATGTAAAAAATACATCAGATTTAAAATAATGATATCTGTGTGTGTGTGTGTGTGTGTGTGTATGTGTGTTGCTAGGGTCTCATGCACACAAGGCAAGCTACATCCCCACCCCTAACTGCAGTTCAGAAGCCTATGGAGTTCTGTATCACAGGGAGCCACATCAAATAACAGGCATAAGTACTTTGAGAAAGAAAGGCACATGAAACAATTCCCATTCAAGAGATGGACACGGACAGATAGAATATGACATCCACAAGAGACACACTGAATAGAAAAAGCAGTTCACAGAATACAAACACAAAATTCACATAAAAATAAGTTTTCATAGTATCTTATGTAGCCTCTTATAAAATTGAAGCCAAATACTTTTAAAATTAGGACATATTTTCCCAACCATAAGCATAAATGAAGAGTTAGCTCTAGATACTTGCCTTGTGAACTGGATGACATTAAGCTGAGGACCAGATGTTTTCCATCTGTGTTTTAGATTATGTTAAATACAAAATCATTAGAAAACACCTAGATGATGGAGCAGTTTAACATATTTAAAGAATCAGATGATATGAAGATTACCTTAGACTTTAGAAAATTTTAATGTATTTTTTATGTCAGAATTTTAACTAGTAAAGTTTTACTGTAAAATAAATTTTTATTTTATAATATGCAAACTCAACCTTCATAACCCAGAAACAACTTTCTGAAGGGTAAAAACTGCAGATTTCCCATATGATATCAAACTTAACAAAAGACTTATTTTCCTTGGGTTGAATGTTGGTATTAGGTAGACAACAAAAAATATTAGTTAATGTAGTTTATTACGTATTGTGTAGAAACTACTGCAGTTCATGTGCATGGGCTGAATTATGAATCGTCAATGAAAATAATGCTTTATATAATCACTAAAGATATGGAAGGAAAAGTCTAGAAAGAGAAGTAATTAAAATATCAGCATGGAATTATACTATATCAATCATAAATGTGCAAATTGGTAATAGGTTGTAATAGTAAAACAACTATGAGACAAACCAAAAAAGTTGTCATGGTCCATAGCTATGTGACTTATCTTTGTTGAACAAATATCATTTTATAATAGGGACATTATATAAATTATTTTACAAAGTCTAAATTGACTTGAAAGATTGTTGTCTCTGCTAACATCAGATTCTTTAAGAAAAATCAAGGGAGAAGCAATTCACATCAAGATCTTTATGAAAAGGGAATCTGAACAACACTAGAGAAGAATTTGCTGTTTAAATTACATATATTGAATGCTACCTTAATCAGGTCATGGTTATAGTGACCTAGTAATGAAAACATGTCCTTTTGCTGTACTAATCTAAACACACACATATATATGTATATGTATATATACACACACAAATATATAAAATATATATGGTTTTTGGATGCTGGCAAATCCCAATTAAAAAACTTTATTTTGTATATGTGTATTTGTGTACACACACCCAACATACACATCATATATATCATTACCAACATGCAACTATCTGGATGTTTTCCTACTTTATCAAACTATGATGGGCATGTAGACTTTAAAAACTGCCCTAGTTCTTATGTTTTTTCTCTTTTTTCCTTTTTTCTCATATTCCTTTAAAATTCTCCTCTACTTGTTACTTGGGAGCTGAGGTAGGAGCTGAGGTTCAAGGGCACCTTTGGCAACTGAGCAAGACACTGTATCACACTAAAAAAGGACTGGGGATGTAGCTTAGTGGTAGAGTACCCTTGGGTTCAATTCCCAGTAATGGAGGGGGGGTCATTTAAGCTGGAGGAAGGTAATGATATTTAATTAGGAATTAAACTATAGTTACATTTACTTAAGGTATGAATTTAATTCCTTAATACAAACCATTTCTTAAGGAAACACTGTCAACTTTGCCATTATGTAATGTGATGAGCTAAAGCAAGTTAAAGAGATTTGCAATTTTAGAACCTATATAACTCGGTAGGTATTTTCGTGAATTTGAAGTCTTAGCTACTTCTGTTGTAACATTCTGTGAAACTCTCACAACAGAACCAAAATAAATGAAAAATGCTGCTGCTTTAAAATGATGATTTAAAAACCTATAGTATTTCAAAACAGTGCAATCTGGGGTCGAAACTGCTTTTTCTATAAATGTCATTGTTTGAAATAGGTATCTGCAAGAATCATGCTTCAGCAAGATTAATATTTTAATTGACATGTCTTGTTTAACTTAAGGCAAACAAACAATATAAGCCACATAGTTATAGATTTAAACTCTAGGGGTTGGGGATGTAGCTTGGTGCTTACCTAGCATGCTCCTGGCTCTGGGTTTGACCTTCAGCATCTCAAAAAAGATTTAAACTCTAGAAAAATCTAGAAAAGATTAACATAGAGGTGAATAACAGATATATTTTCCTTAACATAATTTACTTTCATCCATTACCAGAACTATTAAATATTAGTGGTTAGCGAAAGGTATATTTACATAATTTTCCCTTGAGAAAAGCAAAAAACTCTGTTAAGCTCATAAATACACCATTCCAAATTAGCTAATTTGCTGGTAACTCAATTTCTGTTTCCATGTTGTTGATCAAAAGATTTCATTGGTTCACGAGTATAAAGTTTAAAATAATATATCACTACTTTTAAATTTTTCTAAAATATGGCATTCTATATTTGGCATGCTACCAAAACAGTTGCTTTTAAAGATCTAAAAAGTCTAGTGACATTAGGCAATCATTAGCATATTCAATTAATTTTTAACACTTAATTGAATTGTGTGCTATCTTTATGTAAAGCCTTGAATAAAGTTGGTGAATTAAACTTGGTTTTTGGATGCTGGCAAACCCCAATTTTAAAAATTTAGTTAATTTAGTTATATTAATAGTAGCTTGCTACCAAAATTCTCATTTAAATTTCATTAAATTTTTCTGCTCCAATGATACTTATGCATGTTATGTATAGTATTAATTCTTGCATACTGGTATGTTTAAAAATATTTTTCATGCCTTAAATTGTACTCTGGTTGCAGTTTTCTGAAAAAGTATACAGCAGCAGTTCAAATTTTAACAGCTTGTAAACTAATACATTTCAAACTTGCATTTGAGCAGTTAATAGCTTATTTTCAGTATCAACATGAAATTCCTTCCTATGCTTGGATAGTAATATCACATTATTATGGCTTCTTGATGTCCACTTGGAAAATGGCATAAATAATTTTTTTCTGAAGTAACTAGAGCTAGATTTGCAGTGGTAAATGAGCAACATGTTTTCAGCTATATCAAGTTAAAGACGAATTTTACTGTAGTTAAAAATATTTGTAGGTTCTATTAAGCTCAACCATAAGAAAAAAAGTTATTGCCATAAATGACTTTGTTTTGCTTTAAAATTGTATGTGCCTTATTTTTGGTAAATTCCATACCTTTTACCTTGTCCTTTAAACAAACACATGGTTATAAGAAAACTATCTTCAATACCTCATCGGTTTAGATTTTAAATTCCACACTTTATAGCTATTTTCACTGAATTTTATTTTCAACACTTCATCCCTTTGAATACTATATAAATCATACCCGTCAGTAATAGCCATTAGACTCATTTCAAAATTGCTGTTTTTCTTTTCTACCAAAGGCATTCTCTCATATGTGATAATCACTTAAAATTTCCTGAGTTCAAAGCCCTTGGTCTTTTCACTCTCTCACAAGGATTCCTTTCCCCATCACCTGCCAAGAAACCTTTTCTGATTCTGAAGTTGATCTTAGGGCATGTTTCAGCTGTGAGAATTTCTGTAACTTCATGGAATGGAAGTTTCTGTAACTCCTCACATTGAGTTGTACAAGTAAATGTATATTCTCCATCTAAATCAAGATTAGATTAACTAGAATAGGTCTAGATGAAGAATACACATTTACATGTATATTACTATTACTGTTCGGCAACTTTATCATTATTGCTTGCAAAACTGCCACACCCTTGAAAATTGAGCCTAAATTGCCTTTCCTAGATAAAGAACCAGAACCACTCACATTCCTATGTCATTAAATAGTTCCAAAATCTAAAATGAAAGTAAATGGCTCCAAGGCATACTTCCACAAAGAATCTAATATTCATTTGTTATCTTGTCCATTATATAGTAAAATTCTATTTCTTAGGAGTATAAAAGTAATTTTCATCTCAATTATGTTCATGTTGGAATATTATTTAATGCAAGTCTTAAGACCAACCCTGTTAACTTTTAAGCATTTACTCTTTGATTTCAAACAAAATACAAAGGTAGCAGTAATTTGTAAGTTATGAAATATTATCCATTTACATACACCTCTATTATGAAAAGATTATCCATTGAAATTTGTCATTTATGATGTTAATATTTTAAAAAATTTTAAGCCATTTCCTTTCTGTTTTATCTCTTTTTGCTAATTCTAAATCAAAAGGTTTAACTGCTCATTAAGATTCAAGTTTCAGGCTTAAAAATTCAAATATTAGCAAACACCAATAAGTTAGTTGAGACACTTGAAAAACACACTGTAAACTTTAAAATTTCAAATTTTAGAGAAAGATGAGAAGTTGAGATAAAAAATATCCTGTTTCCACATTTCCAAGCTGTAAGGTCCTCCCTGAGAATAATCTTAGTCTACTCTGATGATTAAAAAACAAAATAAAATCCCAAGATACAAAATGGAATTAAATGTCCTGGTCTAACCAGATATTTCTAGTTAGTTACTTTGATACAAGACTTGTTAATATTTCCATAGCAAAAAAATTAAGAAGCAAGCAAGACAGTAGTTGTAAATGTTGACTGGGCTGAAATATGGAAGTGACATCTGGGAATGGTTATATTTCTGGTTCTCTTCCAGGCAAGGAACAATCATAACTAGGGTCCCCAGTTTCTCTGTTCCCTTTAACTCCAAATCTCACCCTGTGAACAGATTCTTACATCTATCTATTCTTACAACCTGTCTCCCTGACCCAAGTACAACCAAACTCCAGGGAGATACAGCACCTGTTTGTGACCTGTCCTGAGAGTACCAACAAATGGAAAGCCTCAGGGAATTCGCCACTTAAAAAAAGAATGGTTATTGTTATTTGCACAGGTTTCTGCAAACACAACCCGACAGTGAAGTCCTAAAGCCGCAGGAGAAACTCAAACTGACGGGAGAATCTTACCCTAGCCTCTACTACAAATCTGACCTTGCCCTACTTCTATCCATGCACCCAATGCTTGCCCATGACTTCGCAAACCAAAGAAGCCGCCGACACATGCAGCACACTGGAGCCATCAAATTCCCAGTGAAACCTGACCGCTTTGTAAAGCCTCCCGGAAGAAGAAAAGATCAAATGAGATCTACTCTGCGGGGTCTTCCTAAGGTGACCCTAACGTATTTATTTTCACGCTGCAACTGCTGGTCGCTTTACAGAGACATACCATGCTGTAGCTCTGCGTGTAGCTGAGGACAAAGAAAACATTTTATTAATGTTATAATTATTATAATTACTCTTTAACAAAGCTATTAAATAACCTGTACAAAGCCCGAAGGGTCCTAGCGAAAACCCGAGCAATATTTAAAATCTCCCAAGGTCCTTTCGCTTTCATTCAGCAGCGTTTCCTATATACAAGGCCAGCTCTGGGTGATACCTCCCAACTGTAGGTCTCCCAGATGGTGGAAGTGATTCAGAGTTTACAACCACTCCTAGGGTAACTCAACATCCCAACCATGACCCTACAAGTCCCAGATCCCAACCGTCCCTCTGTTCTAGGGCTAAGGAAAGTGAGAGCCAGGCTCTACTTTGGGAGGCGGACAACTGAAGTTCATCTACTAAGTCTCTTGCGCCTGCTGCCCACAGACCCCGGGACCTCCGCAAGAGGTACTGGGAAGGGGGTCTGAGGCGGGAGTGACCTCGGCCCAGGATGGGCTCACAGGTCCCGCGGGTTCTCCCGCTTAACCCCGGTCTCAGCAACTTTGAGCTTCTTATTTTGGTGCGTTTTGACGTGCTTGGCAAGGTGGTCGCTCCGCATGAAGCGCTTGCCACACTCGGGACAGGCGAAGCGCTTCTCGCCGGTGTGAGTCCGCAGGTGCCGCTGCAACTCGTCTGAGCGCGTAAAGCTCTTGCCGCAAAAGAGCCAGTTGCACACGAAGGGCCGCTCACCCGTGTGCCAACGCAGATGTGCTTTCAGGTGCGACGTCTTCCCGTACACCTTGCCGCAGCCCGGCACGTGGCACACGTGTTGCTTCTTTTTGCCCGGCTCCGCCTCAGGGGCGCCGCCCGCCGCCTGGCAGTTGGGGCAACGGCAGCGGCGGCACCTCCTGGCCGTGGCCGCCAGGGGGGCCTTGGTCTGCAACAACGCGGCGATCTGGCTCTGGTACTGCGCAAAGTCCGACGGGCCTAACACCAGGCCCCGTTGCAAGGCGGCGGCCGCGGCAGCGGCAGCGGCAGCAGAGGAAGGGAAGCGCGGAGCATGGGGGGGCCCGGCACAGGCGCTGGAGAGGCCGCCCCCTGGAACCGCGGAGGCCCCTGGCCCAGCGCCTGACTGAGGAATGCTCCACCACGGGAGGTCGTCGGGGGCCGGGTTGGGGGACAACTGGCGGCAGGTGGGCGGCGGAGGCGGCGGCGGGGGTAGGAGGTTGGAGTACCCCGGCGGTAGGGCAGCCTGCGTAGCGTAGGGCACGTAGGCCGGTGCACAGCTGGCAGGCAGACCTGCCATGCTCGAGGGCAGCATCTTGACCGGCGAGAACTCGTAGGGATACGAGGGGTCAGCTGGGGGTGTGAGTGGTAGCTCGTGTGCAGCCCCAAAAGAAGGCTGCAGGTGCGTTTTCTGTGGCGTCAGCCCCAGGCTGGGATGCGGGGGAGGCAGCGCGCCCGGTGAGTGCGCCGGCATGTCCGCGGTCCAGGGGTGGAAGAGCCTGGAGGGTGAGCCCAGCGCTGGGTCGTAGGGCACCTGCAGGAAGTCCGGGGCCGCTGCCGTGCCTGGCTGGCCGATCCGGCTACAGGTGGCGGCCAGCAGCGCCAGGGGCGAGTGCTTGCCCAGGTCCGGGGAGGCGCTGGGGGTGCGGTCCTGCATGGGCGGCGGCGGCGGGGGAGGGCAGAGAAGAGACAAAAGGTTAGCGCTCCTAGCGCTGGACTCTGGGCCGGCCCGCCACCCCCACCTCGGCTATTATACCTCCGCCCCTCCTCCGCCCGGCCGACCCTCCCCCGTACCTTACACGCACACCCACCGGTCTCGGGAAACTTTTAGTGCCTGCGTTACCTGAACGCGGGGCGCGCGAGTGCTTCCTGCTAAACTACTTGGTGCAAAGAGACGCCATCCAGCCTTTAAGGAAGGCTCAAATAAGGAGGCGGAGGGATCCGACGGGCGGCTCCCGGGTCCTGGGTCAGTAAGAGTCTGGGAACACCCACAGTCCCGCGGCCCATCCTCCTGCTCTCGCATCTTTTGAGCTTTCTTTTTGGCGCTACCCTGGCGCTCCTCCTCTGCCCGCCCCAGGCTGAAATCAGCAGGAGGGCTCAGCAGGAGGGCTCAGCAGGGTGAACTGAGGCCCAGTTCTCTGTCACTCGCGCACCTCCGGACCCCTAGATTCACGTGCCTCCCCCCCGCCCCCAGCCACATTCTTGACACCAGGTTAGGTGTGAAGTTGATGTGGGCACCTCTAGGTCTGACTCCAGATGCACCCGCCGATGGGACTCCCTTTGAGATTCAGGGTGCACAGAATATCCAGAAAGGTGGGCAAGGCACTTCCCACCTGTTCCCGCCCTCTCCCGGCCCGTCCCTGACCTGGAGGAAGGCCTGCAGGGAGTCGTTCCGGAGGACAGCCACGGCGGCCATGGCTACAGCTTGGAGGCCGCTCGCTGTGGAGCGGGGCGCCACCGCCGAGGCATGGACACCCGAAGGCGAGGACGAACGGCAGCCCAGCGTGCCTCCCCGGCGTCCGCTTTGCGTGCCGGGGCCCTCCCCGCCCGCGCCAGCTCGCTCGCCCCGCGCGCGGTCTGAGCGCTTCAGGATCACCTCCAAGAATTTGATAAGGACTTTGCTGGGCCGCCAGCCAGTCAGAGGGAAGATTTATGGCTTTGAAGTTTGCCGCTACCCAATCATCAAAGAATAGCGGCTCTTTCAGAAGCGAAAGCAAATCCTTTGAATCCACAAAGCTCCTATGGTGTGTTTGTTGGTCTGGATAAAAGAACTGATTATTAGGGGGGATGGGAAGGGAGGAGATAAAGGCGGGACAATTAATGAAGTAATCACTATGTGGGAAATGTATATACACAAATAATTGGATTTTCCTGATCAAAGGGGGCCTTGCCGCCTGGAGACTCGCGCTTGGGTTGCTCTAGACACTCGATCACCCCGCCCCCCACTTGCAATTAAAGATTTTCACCGAGGCAGCGCCCAAAGTGACAAAGTGTCTTTGTTATCTCTAGAAAAATCTGCCTTCAACTTTCAGGCGCGGGACTCTGAGACCGGGATGAAGATAACTCTTCCTGGTAATTACCCCGAACCGGCACAACACACTCACCTGCCCGCGCCTGCCGCGGACCGGAGCGAACTCCCGGGGCAGGGCGTGGGACCGACCGCACTCGGTCGGCCGCGTGTCCCCGCGACCGCCGCAGGCAGGGCCGTGACCCGGGGCGGGGCCAGGCAGCTGCCGAGGGCGGCAGTGGGTGGCGCGCACGCTCCAGGGCCGCCAGCCAGACTTGCTCTCTCATGACGTTACTGCTGGCGACCTGGAAGTTTTCCTCAGGCCACAACTTTTGCAAAGAGTGAGTTTGGGAAAAAAAATCCGCGCCGCGCTTTACTAGCAGAGCTGGGTTTGGAAGGACTCCAGACCAACTCCGCTTTACCACCCCGCTCTCTCCAGGCAGGCTGCCCTGTATGCTGAGGAGGGCCGGGCAGGCATCGGACCGTTATTAGGCCCCACCGTGAGTCCCCAGCAATGCTAGCAATTTCTCCCCGTGCTTCTCCAAGAGAGTGCACGTTGTCGAAAGCTGGACAGACTAAGGAGATCAAGTACTCGGAAAAAGGCACAGCCAAGAAAACCTTTTTGTTGTGGTGGTGGTGGTTCAAAAAATCACAAATCATACAAGGGACACCCCTGGAGGGGAAAGAAAAGTCAATACAAACTCTTGTTCCTACCATTTGTGGGGAAAAAAAGAAAGTTTTCCAGGGGCGGGGCGTGCTTCTCCCTGGTGCAGAGAAGCGCTCTTTGGGACATCTCCCCCGCCCCAACGTTTCTACCTACCGAGGTCCAGCAAGGGAGGTACAATTGGCGGGCTGTCTGCCTCCCTTGGGGCGCAGGGTGCATCTTACTGGGGTGGACACCCAGATCCGACACACTGGGGTCGCTGAAAGCCAAAAGAGGAAGAGGCTGGCGGGGTGTTGCGGGGTCCTCGCCGCAGCGGTGTTATTGGGCGCCCGGGAACCGCCTCTGAGGCCTCGGAGCCACGTTTCACGTGCCTGCACAACAACGTGGGCCGCCTGGGCTTTGGCATATCCTGATCTGCCAGCTGGAGGACAGTTTCCTCTCCCCAAAGTCTCCAGCTCCTGGGGAAAACCCGAACCAGAGCAGCTGGCACCTGGCCTTTCTGCGTGTTGTCCTCTGGGGACCACAGTGCGACCAGGACTGGCCTTCGAGGACCAACGAGCCTTACTCCCCGTGCAGTGCCAGAGGTTAGCTTAACTCCAAGGGTTTCGGAGTCTGGACTGTATATTGGTACCCTTCACAATTCCATCAAGTGTGTAGACTTTATGCCATCAGGAAAGCCCACATTCCCCCACGCCCAGAGAGCCAGGGAACTAGAAGGATCTTACTGCCTTTTGTGACCTGAATACGATGAACCCTCTTCTCCTTTTCCCCAAGGAGACCTCATTTCTGAAACTGTGATCAATCACTTCTAAGCTCGGAAACGCGGCCTTGCTCCTCCTGAATATGATGTCTGGGTGCTCTGGAAACGGAAGGGGAGAGGGCTTAGTGGTTTTGCCCTGGGGCTTGGCAGGCCTTCCCCTTCCTTCACAAGTCAGGCCAAGAAAGGTATGGGGTCCCTGAGAAACATGGTACCCGTGGGAGCCCTTTATAGGCTGCAAGCCAGAGGTCAGGGAGCCCTGTGATGCGCACCCACACTGGCACTCTGTGGTTGCTACTTCACGCCCAAGCCTGGTACTTTGCCTGGAGTGTTTCCTTTCAGCAACTGGACACCCACAACTCCAACCATACACTCTACTTTTTTTTTTTTCTTCAAATCTGTACATTATTTAGGTTATCTCAACAAAGTCTTCACTCACTGGCCTTTTACAGACAGCAGTGTTCTGGCCCCCTCCTGACAGCTTTCCAATTGCCTACACCCTGGAAGTCGGTTTGATTCTTTAGTTTTCTTCTTCTCTGGCTCCTTGGAACTGTTGGAACTCACCTTATCCAGGAAGTGGGTAGGTTGGGCTAAGCAGGCTTGAGAACATCCTCCTTTCTGTTAGCTATTTTACCAAAAAGGCTAGAAGAACCAATTCACATCTCCTTAGTTATAGCTGTTAACTTTTCTTCCAAGATACCCCATTAGACAATTAAGTCACCATTAGTGGCGAAAGAGCGGTGGCTAGATGATTGAAAGCTCAGAGTTTGTAGCCAGGTTTTCCCCACCTTGCCACTTTCTAGTTGGAGATCTTAATGTTAATAAGTCTTATAGTGCCTCAGTTTACCCATCTGTAAATGTGCTGCCTCTGTAGAGTAATTGTGAGCTTAAAAGAGCCACTGTATCTTTAGGACAGTGCCCTAGCTCACAGTAGGACCATTCTGGAGCGTTTGCAGTCGTTGCTCTTCTTCGTGAAAACTCTCGGGGGAATCCAGCCCTCCCAGGCCCTAACTGAAGTTTGAAGAGAGATTTTGCTGAACTGCTGTTTAACCTCCCTCCCTTCGCACTCGGAGCTCCAGAAAAACTTCTTCCTAATGAAGTAATGTTTGGAGCGTCCATTAAAAATGCAATGCCGGGAGATCAAAGTACAATATTTATTTTAGAAATTTGTTGCAATCACCAAGAGATACAGGTATCAAGGCCAAATGTCAGTTCCGTTACACAAAGCCCGGCGCAGGGGAAGAGCGTGTGGCTGCTCTGCCATAATGTAAAGAGACATCAAAGACCAAGCGCGCTGCAAAAGTGCGCAGCCGGGAGGGAGGGAGAGAGCCCGGGAGGGCTAGGAGAGCCCCAAACAGCGCGGAGGCGGCGGGGGCGGGGGTCAGTTCAAAGAGGTATCCGCTGGGGCGTGAGTTCACAGGAGGGAAGATTTAATGGGCTTTCCTTTGTTGGTGGGTGTATTTGTGCACCGCGGACCCAGGAACTCCTATGCGGTCCTCCCGCCTAGGGGCGGAGGTGGGGGAGCTGCGAATCCGGAGCAAACTTTCACGGCGGCGGGGGCGGGGAGGTTGAATACCAGTCTCCCAGCGGCCTCGGGCACAGCGGAGCCGCTCTCCACGCAGCTCTCCAAGCAGCGGGGTTCCGAGGCTGGGAAGTTTGCATCTCAGTTTCTCCGCAGGCAGGCGGGCGGCAAGAGCCGACCAGGTGCAATCTGGGAAAAGAGGCGGGTAGGTGAACCTGCAGGGGCGCTTGTGCCAGGGCACTTGTATAAGGGGCAGCCCTGCTCTGCTTGCTGTAGGATCCCCTGTGGGATCACCTCTGTGGGTGCTACTTCGCGCCCAAGCCTGGTACTTTGCCTCGAGCGTTTCCTTTCAGCAACTGGACACCCACACCTCCAACCATACACTCTACTTGATTTTTTTAAAATCTGTACATTATTTAGGTTATCTCAACAAAGTCTTCACTCACTGGCCTTTTACAGAGAGCAGTGTTCTGGCCCCCTCCTGCCAGCTTTCCAATTGCCTGTATCTGCCTAGTTAGTACCAGTCTTTGCTTTATTAAAGGTGCTGGGAGGGAAGGGGAAAGATTTTTCTTCGTGCATTAATGGGGCTCTGAGCCGCCGGGGGATGCCTATGCGTTCTTTAGTCATCTACAACCAAGCGTTCTCAGAGCAGTCCCTCAGCAGCCTTTTGAAGTCGTGCTATAGCAGAAAGCTTCTATTGTTCTCAGCTCTCAACATGGAAGGGATCAAACTTTGCCTCTTCAATTTGAAAGATTTTTTTTTTTCTTTTAAATGGCGGTTGGGTGGAGGGATTGCAATCTGATACTAAGTTAACTTGGAGGATTTAGAGCTGTCTCCCTGTTTAAGCTGCAGACCAAATCACAGATGCCCCAAAGCCTATGACTGACTTGGGGGCTCTTTAACATTAATACGATGGAGAATTCAGTGGCAAGCAGTTGTCACACTGGGAACCTGGCTTGGCAATCAAGTTTTCCCTTGGAAACTTTTTCTTCCAAGGAAAGGGGAATATTTCCCCAACTAGAAACCTTGAGTTCACTGTAAGCTTAAGCTGAAATAATCACTATGTAAGTGACATAAAACCAGGAGGGCTGCATTATCTCGTCTAATTCTACTTCATTTGATGGCAAGGGGAAAAAGCATTTGCATGATTTTGTGCTGCGAATTTCAGTTGATATTCAATAAATGCTTACTGGTAGTGGGTGGTAGAGTGGAATTGTGTGTTCCAATGTCACTTGTATCATGATTGGTGCCACAGAGCACACTAATACCTCATGTCCTTTCCCATCTGTGGAAGCTAAAAAGTGGATTTCATAGATTCAGAGAGTTATCAGAAGCTGTGAAGGGTAGGGTGGAGGGAGAATAAAGAGAGGTTGGTTAATGGGTATAAAATTACAGTTAGAGAAGGAATAAGCCCTTGTTCTGTAGCACAGTAAAGTGACTATAGTCAACAATAACTTATTGTATATCTCAAAATACCTTGAAGACTTTGCATGTTCCCAAGACAAAGAAATAATAAATGAGATGATGAATATGTTACTTATTCTGGCTTGATCATTACATACCATATACATATATCAAAATATCACACTGTACCTCATAAATTACATGTGCCTGTAATCCCAGGGACTTGGGAGACTGAGGGAGGAAGATCACAAGTTCAAAGCCAGCCTCATCAATTTAGCAAAACCCTCAACAATTTAGTGAGACCCTGTCTCAAGGAAAAAAAAAAAAAAGGACTGAATGTAACTCAGTAATTCAGTGGTAAAGTGGTCCTGGGTTCAATGCCCAGTACCTAATAAATACAATGACTATCAATTTATTTTCTATCATTTATAAGCTTAAAGAAAGGATAAGGTGAGACCTTTTCCTTACACAGAAAAAAATTAACCACAAGTTGATCATAGTTCTTAATATGAGTCAAACTCTAAAACTCTTAGAAGTCAATCTTTAGGACCTTAGATTAGACAAAGACTCCTTAGGTATGACACTGTTATGATTTGGATATGAGGTGTCCCCCAAAAGCTCAAGTGTGAGACAATGCAAGAAGTTTCAGAGGAGAAACAATTGGGTTGTGAGTCTTAACTTAATCAGTGAATAAATCTCTGATGGGATTAATTGAATGGTAACTGAAGTGGTAGGGTGTGGCTGGAGGGGTGGAAATTGAGGTATGGCTTTGGAGTATATATTTCTATCTGGCAAGCCGAGTCTCTCTCTCTCTGCTTCTTGATCAGCATGATGTGAGCTGCTTCCCTCCACTATACTCTCC